ATTTTGAAGGAAATCATCCACCTCTAAGTTTGTGTAAGTCTAAGTGTTCGCACTTGGAGATTCATTTTTATAAATAGCGCCTAAATTTTACTTAGGAGCAATTATATTAATGATTGATTTTGCTATTTCTCCAATTCAAGGCGTTTTTCTCGCAATATTCATAAAACTTAGCAAATAGACGTAATTCCACGTACATTTGAGGTCAGTTTTTTTAGTACTCTATACTAAGATTATTATTCGCGTTGTTGCTTGGCGGCAAAAATAGACCTGGTAGCTGTACCTCTCCGGAGACACTCTTCTACAAGAATCTTTACAGCTCATAATATCCTTAATAATTATTAACTTTAAATTGAATTAATTTTATTTCAGCCGCACACGTCGCCGGAAACAATACAGACGAACTCCACAACAGGTTAGTGCGATAGCGCTTCCAAATTGTCAGATTTCCCGAATTATTTTCGTTTGTTTCTATTAAACTATACCGTATTCTGCCCCGTCACTAAAATCTATAAGAAGTCTTAAAATTTAACACTAATTCTTAGTTTTCAGCTTTGAACCAAAGTACTGTAAAGAAATTTTGCATATGCAACTGCAGCTAAAGCATGTGTTCTTACGAACAACATGTAAAACTCACCAAGTTCTTGGGACTTAAAATTTGATCATAAAACTAAAAGTCTAAAAGCATTATGCAAATAAGAAAGCCATTAAATTTAAACTTATTACTAGTTATTACTAAAGGTAGGTTATTACTTGGTGAACACTCCGCATATTAGCTTGGTGCAGCAAGCGAACAACTAGCTAGACTGAAAATCAACAATGCTAAGTCTTCAACCTTTGTGTCCACATCACTCAATTGTTTTTTTTTTCTATTCGTTTTTTAAGTATTGTGTTCCTTACGTTTTGTGGAGATATAAATACCTTTTTATTTTATTATTTATTTTTAAAAACGTATTTATACATCAGAATTTTCATCCTGGGGCAAGCATCTAAAGCGATACTGGTTGAAAAAGTTGTTAATGCATTGTGAAGATATTATTGAAACCATGACATTCAATATTTATTTAATTTAATGATTATTATATATATATATATATATTAATATAAATATCGAACAAACTCCTTCGATCCGGGTGGAGTCGAACCAACGACTGTTTGCCAAACCGGGGGTACCGCTCTCCCAACTGAGCTATGGGACGAGTTTATAATAATTTATTCCACAAGTAAAATTTTTATACTTAATTTTTTAAGCTACTGCTCGTTCACTGTGCTGACATCCCTGAGAAGAACAAGCAAAAAAACTATAGGGATTGCTCTTTTCAAATAAACTTAAATACACTTTGAATCATATTTCTGTGGAATCCAGACTCATTTTGTCTTTCCATACATTTTTATCTAACACATGCTCTTCAATTGTGTAATATGATTTTACAATTAAAATACTTTTAATGTAAGTAGGAAATGATAATGTTAATATATTCTCCGAAATCTTATTGTAAAAATTTATACAGTTCCCACAAAAGAATCGTTTACCTTAGTTAAACGAAATCGTGGTAACATGAGTTTGGACGTAGTTCTAAGGTTAATATTATGGGTATCTTCTTTCTTAATGAAATGATGTATATTTTTATGGGTATACATAATATTTGAGTACATGTACTGTGATGCCACAGTCATGATACCAGTCACCGGTTCGAGTCCATTCAAATCGAAGGAATTTTTCAGCGTGTTTGTTCATATCAATTTTGAAGTCCAAACTTTTTTATAGGCTAGAACAAGCATCAGAGGCTCTACGATCGGAACTATCCGATTGGACACCAAAAACGCATTCAGAAATAAAATCCCTGCTATTAGAAATGGCTGACAGACAAGTTGCCATCCACACCCAGGCCCTATTGGGCTGGGAGCACGCATTAAAGCTAGCAACAGAGGCTGACGCAGAACAGTTATTTAAAACTGTCTCAAGAACTGCAGTGCAAAACTTGTCACCGTCAAAATGTCGCCCTGACATTCTTACTCCTACAGAAACTGAAAGAGACTTTGACGATATTGATAATTACTGTGAATCTGACCTTGAATTTAAATTGGAACAAGACAAAAATTGCACTAAGGCACAACATGTCTTGAGTCAGGGGACTGACAATTTCAGCCAGGCGAATGACAACTTCAGCCAGGGGACTAACATTAAACCCCAGGGCAATTGTATTGATATAGAAGTTAATAACACACACAACGACATTGAGAGTGTAAGCAGTGGCATTGGCATAAATAACAAGGAAACTGACACTTTAAGCCCTGTGATTGACATTATAAACCAGGAGAATGACATAAAAGCCCAGGGGAATGAGGTCGAGTATCAAAATGGTGATAATGCATCGAATAATACAGAAAATGATATTGACAAATCGTTATTTGAACAAAAATCGTTACTTGATCCTTTACACGATTTTTCTGAAGTAGATCTGTCGTCATGATTCTACGACTCTTTGTTTTTCAGTGTATTACGAGAGTTTTAATTTATTGTTTAGAAATAAAGGATTGACCTCGAATAAAAGGTCGAAGTCAACTGAACCTGAATAGTCAAAGGTCCCTATTGAAGGACAGAGATTGGGGCTCCCATACCGGGAATCTGTCTCGATTCAACGTTGCTCCCTCCTCTCCGCCTCTATACCTAAGGCGTGGACTACTTTAAAAGGTCAGGTCACATTTAATAAGAAAACAAACTTTATTCGAATCTCAAACGTTTATAAATTTGAACTTAAAATAATTTAACTTTTATACAGGATTATTTTTAAAGTACTAAACAACCTCACAGGACTATAAAAAAAAACATTATTGACATGATAAACAACAACTTTAAAAAAATAGACCGCTCTAAACGGTGTAAACTCTGTGCGGTAACAAAAGAAATTGCAAAACGCATGAAAGCGGGGGTGGGGGTCATCGTGGAGGACGCTTGCACGTTTGAACTTGCCTACAACCTAATACATATCTAAAGTGTGTCAGATAGAACAACAAAAACTTTAAATCTATTTTTGGTAAATTTATTATGTTTTTTAAAACATCGTAGAACAAAAGATGTTGTTTATGATATTACTAATATAGTCCAGGGAGATTGTTAATATTATACGAATAACTGTGTATAATTATTTATTTCGATTAGGTTTTTGTCGGGCACCCAGTTGCAGGCGTTCCGGTGCACGCAAAACGGGACACAAAGATACTTTTCAATTTGCAATGTTTTTTATTTTCAGTTTCAGTGCATTGTAAATTCAGCCGTATCTGCATAAAGTTTCCGTTCAATTTTGCGCGCGCTGAAACGCATACTCGGTTTTAATGTAGTCTGTTTTTGTTGCGTACATTTGTCTAGATAGGGTGTAAATTAACCTCACAATGTTCTTTGATTATTATAGTTGAAAAACTTACAGATTGCGTTCCTTTCTTACAATAATGCCACATGCGATCATACGTCAAAAGGGCCTTTATCACAAAGTCACGAAAAAAATGCGGACTACATAAAACAAATTATGTGTAATTATTAAGTGTCTATACCACCTCAAATTGCTTTGGTTGGTTCCGAAACAGTGAAAGCGTTGAATCAATCTCTTTGAATATATATTACCAATATATTTTTACTATAGAAAAAAAATAACAAACTTACCTCGATATTTTACAAGAAACCGCTATATTCAATAGGTAACTTACATATACTAATGATTTTTTTTATATCTACTGAAGTAAATAGAACACATGTAGTATATACATTTTTCAAATTCAAATTCTGAAATAAAGCCAGTGTCCCTGCCACTCGACCCAAGCAGAATGAACCTTATTAGTACGGGATAAATTACAATTCGTGCTGAGGTAATATCGACTAAGGATAGGTATCGACCAACGAATCATCGAATTTTTTTTGACAAAACAGTCGATATACCGATTAATCGGTGCTTAAAAAATCGATGCATCGACAAAATATAAATATTTCAATGTGTCGCATTACTTCATATTCTTGTTGGTGAATTTTTAGCTGTATAAGTCAAATTTTATGACGTCACTTTTTCTCTTACTGTTTACAAACCCTGCTTCTTTGTTTACCTGATTTCTAAAGTTAAAAAAACTAAGTAGGTACAGAGAGAGCTAGACAATACTCCATTAAGTATAAGCTAATAGTCCCAGGGTTTGTAGAATAACCTCGAAAACACAGGTGGCGGCTCAGGCGGCATGCATAGGAACCTCGTAACACAACCCTAATTTCCCGCCTTATTTCTAATCATACATTTTTCAAAGGCGGTGAAGACAGACTTTATGATTAGCTTATTGTAAACCATCTTTCTGGTACCACGGTATTGCGCGCAAGTCTCATTTTTCAAAAATCAACTAAATAAAATGTTTTTTTTTTCCAAATTTTTACATGTTTATAATACGATATTTTAATGAAATATAGTTTATTTTTTTTTTTAGTAAAAATCGGTATGAAATCATCGATTATCCGATTAATCGAACCATGTGTCATTTATTCCACGAAAACATCGATTATTCCGATTAATCGATACCCATCCCTATTATCGACTCCTACGGTGTGTAAATGTACGCAACAAATTACTATTACCATGAACCAATAATTCAAGAGGCTTGCTAATCTCCACACTACACTGAATAATTATACGTTTTTTATTAGAAAAAATTAACCAAGTTAAACGCACTTTCACAATTTAATTTTTTTTCCTGTCTCTTCTTTTTTATTATATAATTTGTTTCCATACCCTTATTGATTTATTGATCAGAAATTCGGAGGGCCTCGTGACCTAAAACATAGAGTATCCTAGTTTAGGCTCCAGCCTCTACAAATTTTCCTACACACACTACTATTATTTCATTTAAATTGTTACAAATTTGTGGAGGAAAATTTACTTGCTACTAAAGAAAAGAATTTATTTACTTAGCAATAGATACTAAATACACGACTACGCTGTTTTGCATGTATCACGGTTAGCTGGCCTTTGGGTTATTGGTCCAATGCTATTACTTAAAAAAAATATATCAAATATCTCTGACAATAAGAAAGCTAGCTAATATTAAATGCGATTAGATGTAATACATATAAATTATTAATTTAAAATCATATACAAGGTGTTACAGAAAATGCAACACATAATCGTGTTATGAACTCAATTGAGAAAAACGCAACTTCAAATTTTACAACTTAACATTTTTTTAATACTAAGTGACGAGAAGAACAATTCGTCCACCTGGTGGTAAATGACACGCCTGTCCACTGCAGTTGCAGTGCCACTTAGAGCTTTAAATCGAAAAAATATTTGAGGGGCGCTGCCACTGCGCCGGTCACTTTGATAAGTCCCATGTGCCTGTAATTTCACCAACACCCCTACTCTTCAAAACCGGAACGTATTCACAAGGAGCTTTACTGCTAATTATTTAAACGTTGACGCATTTTCCGTAGCACCCTTTATATAAAAAGAAATCTCACTTGTTACCTTGTAGTACCCAAAGCAATAAAAATGTATATCCTTTTTATTATTAAAAATAATTGTAATACAATAAATTAATGAAATGTAATAAATTTGATTATATGGTAATTCATATCATAGTCGTTAATTATGTTTTCTGCACTATCTGAGATTTTTCCTTGGTTATAGGCATGCAATTGGATATAAAAAGAAAGTTAGGACGCTTTAATAATAAATCTTGTCATCACTTTCACACTTTAAAGTGCAATAAAAATATGAAAATATATGATACTGGTAAAAATCTTAATAACACTTTCAAAGAGTGGAAATGATGATTATTTAATGGTTACTTATCAGAATCCGAAACGACATTTTTCAGAAATAACGTTTGCTTGAATTTTCATAACCTCGAAAGTAATTTTGAGAGGATAACGTTTTTCTTTTAAACTTAACCGAACCTAATCGTGCCTTTGCGATAAACATCCGACATATCCTGAAAGAACAACGGTTTCGTTATAATTCGGTTTTCGGGGTAACGAAAATTCAAACAAACGTTATTTCGGAAAAAAATTATTCGAGTTTGTGATTAGTTACCCTATTTTATAAATATATTGTGAAGTATAGATGTTTCCATATCTATATTTTATCACATCTGATAAAAAAATCTTATCATCACTTTCAAGAAATACAGTATATTTATTATAATGTCATATAAAGCACTGGCCATATATACATCAGCGCCCCAATTCTGCTTTTCCTTAAAACCACTGGTCATTTTAAATCCATTGGGACTCCACTGAGATAATTTTTAATTTATGACAATATTTGTTATTCTGCTAAAATCTAGTTGCAATGGCTGTTGAGGCTCGATAAGGTGTCAGTGGAACGGCAGAGATGGCATTCATTCATTAAATCTATCGAGTATATAACCAGAAATAGAGACGAAATGGCATTTAATTTGTTTGGAAACTATTCTGCCAAATCATTACGGTGACAACTGCGCTCTGATTGGCCAGCCCGAATTCGAAACAACTGTCGTCAATTGTTTCACTTCAAGTCGACCAGTTTAACTTGAGTCTTGCTATAATGGACGATAATTGAAAAAATACATATTTAATTACCAATGTAATGTGATTCCGTTTGTTTTGTTATTAGATGTTTTGCTCTTTTTTCCATACAGAAATAAAAAAAATACAGAATATTTTTGGAATATACGGAGACATGGTCAGTTTTTAGCGCCGTACTATTTCGGCTTTCCAATTTTTTATTTCAGCGCAAACGAGAGTTGATATTTAAAAGTGATATAAGGCCCAATTGCCTGATGAGCTGCCAGGGAGGGATTGCCCTTATTTCGCCTCTATTTTTAGTTATGTACTCTATGATGTTGCTTTACCAAAACTACCATGGAAATTACTATGCATGTATAATGTTTATCAGCAATATAGTCTTCACATTAAATATAATCCCGGGCTCGAATTATTGTCCGGAAGTGTATACATAATATTAGTAGACTATTCAATCGACACGTGTCATAGACTCGCCATTGAATCGACACACAACTGATACGATTTTAGCAGATTTGGGACCCAAAATATTTAATTTGAAAAAAAAAAATACTAAAGATAAATTCTTTTGAATATGAGTTGTCAGTGGTTCATATGAACCTTATCATAATAAAAAAATATTTTTTTAACCTTTTTTTTGTCCATGAGTATATTTTAGAAAAGTATTCGTCCTTCTCAGCGCGATACAGACGTGATATTATGTTAATAAGTTTTTATTTATTTAAAATTGATCTTTTGCGATACGAACTTTGAACATTTAGAGACGTACACTTTTGCAATATGCCACCACGTCTAATCAAAAATATTGCGGAGAAGCACAATGTCCAGAACAAAATTTATGTAACTTGTAATCTTTTTTAATAATTTAAATAAAGCATTTCATAATATTGCAAATCTACAACGCCATATAAATAACACATTCAAACAACATAGGAATATTTTTCAAAAGATTTTTATCTGAGACGTCATTCTCAAAACAAGTCACAAGCCAAATCGTTTCCTATGAGAATTTTCTCCATGTTTATTAAGATTTCTCGCTGGTTGTTATTTTAATCAAAAATTAATAAGACTAAACGATGTATCAGTATGGATAATTAACGGATACACATATATCGGATAGTTATCTAAAAAAATAAATATCTTGATATTTATTGAGATTTTTGTTAAATAAATCCACCAGTGGCCGTAGCATGGCAGAATATGTGTGATAATCCTCCCCATGGCGGTTACCTATCAGAAATCCGAAATGACATTTTTCAGAAATAACGTTTGATCGAATTTTCATAACCTCGAAAATTAAGTTTTAAAAGAAAAATGTTTTTTCTTTTATACCTAACTTAACCTACCCTAATCGTGTCTTTGCGATAAACATCCAACATATCCTGAAAGAACAACGGTTTCGTTATAATTCTGTTTTACAGGTAATGAAAATTGGAACAAACGTTATGTCGGACAAAGTAAATTCGACTTAGTTATAGGTTGTATTCATAAGCTTAACAAAACTAGTGAAGTTATTTAATAAAAAATCTCAATGAATATAGTTGATAGAAAAGCGATATCTGCGTCAGTTGTGATACCTGTAAAGCTATCGGTTGCGATGTGAAGGTTATTCAAAACTCTTTCACTAGATGTCACTAGCGGCGACGAATGCCGAAAGTCAGTACAAAGGTCTATAATAAAAACACATAGGAGAATTTCGTGCAATGTTACGGTGCAGCATGGTCGTGGGTTCAAATCTGCCGAAAACTAAAAAGAGTCTAATTATTGGCTTACAGTCAATGAGTCTAATTGACAAAAAAATTTTTTGAGATATCTTAAAAATAATTATTAATACAAAGATCGAACACTCAGAAAAAATTCCTTCGATCCGGTCGGATTCGAACCGACGTCTTCTTGCATAC